ATAGCTAGGTAGAAACCCTAGAGCAAGTCAGAATGGAGACAGAAAATACATAATGTATCCATTAGGATGCCTTTGGCTGCATCTAAGAGGAACTCTGGATTCAAATAGAATTCCACAAATGGAAATTTTATTAGTTCACATTACTGGAAGCCTGGAGTTGGGAGAGCCCTGGGCATAGTTCCATGCGTGGCTCAAAAATGCTAGTTCCATCTTTCCATCTGCTGTCTTCAGCGTATCAGTCAGGATGGGGTAGGATATGCTGCAATAACGGACCTCAATTCTAGTGGCTTCAAGAAGAAAAAGTATATTTTTGCTCATGCTACAATGCCCCTGGTGGGGCACGATTTTCATTATTTGTGGGCTCTACTCACTGTCATCACTTACAGTCTAACAAAGTCACTTCCACATAAAACATTGCTGATCACTATGCCAGAAGAAAACAAGAACTTTAGAATGTCTCTAAGTGGCAACGAGATGCCCTGGTTCAGAAATAACACATTATTTCTGCTCATGATTTGCTGACCAGTTAGTACTAAGTCACTTTCCCTTCCTACTCACAAATGAACCCAGGATTGCAGTTTTACTATATGTCTGGGAGGTAGAGAAATTTAGTGTGTAGCACTGATGACTATCAAACTGAATATCAGTTTCAACTAACCACTGGTTTCTGCCAGCCCCCACCTCCACCTCAAGGTCATAACATCCAGAGAAACAACACTCAAAAAAGTAGAGAAATTACCACTAGTTTTTAGAGCAAGGAAAATCTCCCCAGAATCTCTCAATAGTCCCCTCACTTTGTATTGGCCAGAACTGGATCACATATACCAAAACAAATCACTGGCAAGGGAAATGAGATTATTATGGTTGGCTCAGCCCAGCCAGGATCTATCTTCTAGAGCCAGGGATTGGGTCATTTCCCCCTGAGCCTAAGGGCTGTCTGAAGTTGGTGTAGGTGTTGAAAAAGATGATTCTTTTCTGGAACTTTTTAATGAGTGAGATCCACAGAGGAAGGGCACCTCCACACTGTCAACAATTCAGGTACTGAATATAGGAGACTGAACATAGGTACTGAAAATAGGAGAAAGCAGGGAAATGGGTGTTGGTAGGCAACCAACCTGGACTACTACAAGGGGCAAACCAGGAGGGCTGGAGGAGCCAGTAAAGGGGTTAAGAAGCACAGATTGACAGTTACAAAATAGCCATGGGGATGTAAGGTACAGCATAGGGAACACAGTCAATAATATTGTAATAACTATGTGTGGTGCCAGGTGGGTACTAGATTTATTGGGGGGATCACTTCATAAGTTATATAAATGTCTAACCATTATGCTGTACACCTGAAACTAATATGATATTGAATGTGAACTGTAATTGAAAAAAAGAAATATAGTGTGCTTCAGTAAGGGCTGGAATAAATAACCCCCTAAGATCCTATCCACCTCAACAATACTCTTATTTTCTGTGAGTCTGTTGATGCTACCATTTACGAGCACAGGGGTTCAGATGGGTGGTGATGGTCTGAGGAACCAAAGCAATTTCCCTTACTTAGTGCCACTGATCAAATCTTGATAGAGTCCCCCGTGAGGAAGACACACTTCCAGCCATTGTGAGGAAGATGGAACGGGCAATTCTGGAGTAACGCAGAGGAGGTGAAAGCTCTGGGAAGAAGAAAGAAGGGACTGACTTAAAGCCTGCATGTCGTATGAGGCCAAAGAGACTGTTAGGACTGCCTAGCGTATATGCCTATGTTATGACTCCCCAGTGCATATGCTTTTCTTCTCTGCTCTCCTGAGCTTGACACCCTTGTGCTGGGCAGCTTTGCTTAGAGCTCTTAAAGGCACGTCAGCATGTCCATCCCTACTGCTGTCCCGAGCCTGCTCTTTTGATTATGCTTGTCACCTGCTCGATGGGCACCAACTACCAGTAATTTACTGCATCCCTTCATAGACTTTACCCGAGTTGTCAGAGCGGCTCTCCTCCTGTCCGGTGTTCCCTAGTCCTGCTGACTTAGAGATCCAGTGAACGTGTAAATCTGATGGCATCTTCCCCTTGAGTAAAGCCCACCAATAATTCCTGTAGAATGAATTCAAGTTCCTTGGCAGGGGATCAGTGCCTTTCTGCCAGCTTTGTTTGGAAGACTCCCTCAGAGTGTATGCTAATCTGCTCTATCCCCTGCTCACACAGCCTCTAGCTCATGTCTTCCTGACTTTGCTAATGATGTTCCCCTCTGCTAGAAGCGTCCTTCCACTCTCACTTGATGTATTAGCTCTTAATCGTTTTTCAAGATTCTGCTCATCACTGCATGGCGGAGGAAGCTGCCTTGGGCTCCACTCTTGCCCTCCAGGGCTAGGTGGGCATCTGTTACCAGCGCCCTCAGAGCACTCTGTGCCCACCCTTATCAGGGGCCATAAGCACGATATGGGGATCATTTGTCTCTCTGTCCCCTCCTTGAGGAAAGGGGACTACCTTACACTTTCTCTACTTCAGCACTCACCACGGTGCCTGGTGGAGAGTAGGCACTAAGTAAGTGGTCCTAGAACAGGATCATTCGGAAGAGGGTGGCAGCTGAGANGGTCCTAGAACAGGATCATTCAGAAGAGGGTGGCAGCTGAGAGGGAGTTGAGGGGCTGGGAGGAAGTACAGGGGAANAAGTGGTCCTAGAACAGGATCATTCGGAAGAGGGTGGCAGCTGAGAGGGAGTTGAGGGGCTGGGAGGAAGTACAGGGGAAGAGGGAGGGTGTGGAGATAGCAGCAAGAGGGGAGTTTGTGTACCCCCAGTCCTAGGATCTGCGTCTCCTTCTTTGCCTTGGAATCAGTGTTCTAGCTCCAACTGATCCATCCTGCAGTTCCAAGAAGAGGCCATCTCTCTCTCATGGGGGATCCTTAGTTGGGGTCAGGCATGAGTGGGCCTGAATGGACAGCCTTGGGGACAATCTCTGCTCCTCACGCTCTCACAACCTGCTCTCTGCCTTTAGCCTAAGCCCTCTGGGAACCTGCAAGGCCAGGCCAGGCCAGGCAGGATCTTGTGAGTGGCCACTGCTTGTTGTTCTCATTTCCTGCGCCTCCTCGGCAGACACATGCCAAAGAGCATGACTGTGGCTCTCTCTTAGGGTGGCCTCATGGCTTTGATAGACCTGGGCCTCTTTCCACAGACCANTCTCATTTCCTGCGCCTCCTCCGCAGACACATGCCAAAGAGCATGACTGTGGCTCTCTCTTAGGGTGGCCTCATGGCTTTGATAGACCTGGGCCTCTTTCCACAGACCAGACAGCAGCCTTACAGGAACACCCCCCTCTGTACCCCTCACCTCACCCCTGTAAGCTAGGGCAGAGGGATTTCAAAGTTGAGTCTTAGAGGCCCAGACAGCTTTTCTAACTCTGTCCCATTGCTCTGGAGAAAGTCTTGGGAAGAGGGACTGAGAGGTGTCACCCAGCGCTGGGGTTCTGTGCCTGTGTGAACGCTGGAGGCCTGGCAGGAAGAAGAGCGCCCAAGGGGAAGGGAGTGTAGGCCGTGCTCACTGGTAGCCCAATAACCTCATACAAGCCGCTTGACCCCTGGTCTCAGTTTAGGAACCTGTAGCAATGGGTTTGGCCTCGCCTCTCCGCAGCCAGCGTCGCCACTAGGGAGAGGCAAAGGCTTGCAGAAGCGCCAACTCCCGCTCGGGCAGCGCGGAGCCCGGGGCTCGGGCGCGGTGGGACCCCCGCCGGGGCGGCCCCCGGAGAAGGCGGGGAAGGTTTGGTTCCCCGCAGGCCAGCTACGGAGGGTGCACTCCCGCCCCACTCCCGGCGCCCTCTTTGCGCGCCTGGCTCGCCTGGTTGATTCACGGGTGTCCTGGGCTTCAGTGACGCGGCGCTTCAAGTGCCGCGAGGGGGAAGAAGCCAAGAGGAGCCCCCCTCCCACCGGGCGCCCGGGCGCGCGT